CTCTCCATGAAAGTTTTTTTATCTAAAAGAGGGAAAAAAAAAAAAAAAAAAAAAAAAAGGAAAGAAGGGAAAATTTTAAAAATTAAATTAATTAAATTTTTTATCAGGTGTATTTATGTATGTGTTTGGGCATAAATGTCTTGCCATGGAAGTCAAGAACTTTTGATCATTTGCAGGTTATGGAACAATTTTTTGGATTAGTTAACACGTTTTTGCAGAATCATCGAGACACAAAAAGGCGGAGACTAGGAATACGGACATACAAGGTATCCCTCTAAAAAGATGAAGTTGAAATTCCTTTTGGCATAGAAGTTTAATTATAAGTAAAAAAACTTGTGTATATATATATATATATATATAAAAACTATTTCCGTTTCTTTTTCTCTCATATAATTAATTGGGTTGAAATGTTATGTCTTAAACTCTTATGCTTTAGATTCTTACTTTTCTTTCTTTGAAATTGACCTTTTAGCAACCTGACTATTCAAATTGGCATATGAGTCATCTTATATTATATTGGCATCTTTTCCGTTCTGGCCATTTCCGTGTCCATCTGCTCATATCTCCAAGTGCCCAATGTTTAGCACAATCTAAGATCTTATTACATGTCAAGTTGGAAGAATGTTTTCATTAAGGCTCCAAGTTTAGATTTGGGAGTGTGACATTTAAATTGTATAATTGATTTTGCTTATCATCTGCCCAATGTGTGTCTTTTTTAATCCCACCTCATTAAAGATTTTTTTCTTTTTTTTTTGAGTTCAACAACAAAGGAGAGTTGGAATTCAAACTTCTGACATTTAGTCAATGATACAATGTCTTAATTAGCTTAACTATGCTCAAATGGACAAAATTAGCTTTGTTTTATCTGCCTAGATGAACAATGGATTGTAACTTGCCAATAGGTTATGTTTCTTTGTTACTTTCAACTATGTTAACATAATAGTAAATTGATCTCACAAAATTTTGAATTTGTTGTGAAAATGTGCAATGTGGAATCATATAGAAGTGTAATATATTTTCTTCAACATGTAAATAATCCAATAATTTTTATTAATTTTATTTATCAATTAGGTCGTTCCCTTTACTCCAAGTGCTGGTGTTCTTGAATGGGTGGATGGAACTATTCCTCTGGGAGAATATCTTATCGGGAGGTTAGTAAATTCCAGTTGTGTTTACTCATTCGTGGGATTGGTTCTTTAAGTAATTAGATCCTCAAAACTTTTCAGCACCAGAAATGGAGGAGCTCATGGTCGCTACAGAATAGGAGATTGGTCATTTCTTGAATGCAGAGATTACATGGCAAAAGCAAGTACTCTATGCTTGTTCCTTTTATTTATGTCATAGCACTCATCTCATTTTCTCTTTAATATTTTTATTCTGCTGTATGTTCTCTGTCCTCGTTCTACAATCTTTAAGTGACAAAAACTCTAGTATAGAACATCATTGCATAGGTAATCTTCAGATGTGTTTAGACATTGTTCTGCTCTAATTAATTACTTCCTTGCAAAACCCCATAATGACAAAGGTGACCAAGGTGGTTAGCGGCCCTGTGAATACTACACATCTACCACATTAACATTCTTTTTTTTCTAGATTAAGGATTGTTCAAAAACACCCTGTGCTATGATGCAATCAACTCTAAAGTAACAAAATGTTGATTTGATTTGTCTCCGTCTATACTGGAGATGATCTCTGTTTTGTTACTTCTTTATTTTCATCTAATTCTTCTATTAGGAGAAGAGAGAAAAAAAGAACAAAAAAATAAACAATTGGATCAGAGTTCTCGTTCCATTTGAAGGGATTTCATCTCAAAATTGTCCATGGTAAAGCTAAATCGTAATCATTTTCACAAAAAAAAAAATTCTTGTGCCTTCTTTTTTTTTTTTTTTTTTTTTTTTTTGTAATAATCAGTGGTATTGTTTGGATCACATATATCCCAGTCTTTGAGGTTTAAGATGCATTTAGATGTTTATTTTTAGACTAATAATTAGAGTCTACTTTTATCCTAAAATTGATTCCATGTTCTATTAGGAGAAAGACAAGCGTAAAGCATTTCAGGAAGTTTCTGAGAATTTCAGGTTTGATTTCTTTTTTTTTTTTTTAATGAGTAGAAACCGTGGATGCTGCATTTTATCCGATATTTGAAACTGATATAACTCATACAGGCCCGCCATGCATTACTTTTTTCTGGAGAGGTTCTTACAACCAGCTGATTGGTTTGAGAAGAGGCTTGCTTACACTCGAAGTGTGGCTGCTAGTTCAATGGTGAGCAATTGCTCTGACATGATTAGTATTTAAAAGCCAGATTTTCTTATATAAAGAAAGAACCAACCCAACAGAGAAAACGCAAAACAAAATAGAAACACTAAATAATCCGCCCATCTCTACTTGTCCTGACCTATGTATTTGTAATGGGAAGCCTAACACTAACTTTGACCAAATTGGTTTGAATCTTTTGATTTAACCAAAACAAGTAGATGTAGCAAGTAAACAGGAAAAAAAGATTTATGACCTTCTTCAAAGTAATCCTCAGCTTGATGCCAAAGAAAAATAAGGGCCTTCAATTTCATCTTCATAAATATTGGTTGAAGTTATAGGGAGGGATTTAGTTAAACATTATATTTGACTTGTGATTTTAAATGATGTTCCTCAGGAGTCAGTTCATACTAATTTGGTTGCAAAACTGAAAAAAATTCAATGCTTCAGGTTGGTTATATTGTTGGCTTAGGAGATCGACATTCCATGAACATTTTGATTGATCAAGTTACGGCTGAAGTTGTTCACATTGATCTGGGAGTTGCCTTTGAACAAGGCTTGATGCTTAAGACACCGGAACGGGTCTGTTATGCTACTAAAATTTATCCTTCATTTGTTCTTTGTACCATCCGAACTGACATATAGTATGATCATCATTCTTTTTTTGTTGCTTCAATCAATTATCTTAGGTTCCATTCAGGCTTACAAGAGATGTGATTGATGGTATGGGTGTTAATGGAGTGGAAGGGGTTTTCAGAAGATGTTGCGAGGAAACTCTCTCCGTTATGCGGACCAATAAAGAGGCACTGCTAACCATCGTTGAAGTATTACTCACGTTCCCTTAGAAAAAATGATTACTATTCAACACTTGTGTTTTTTTTTTTTTTTTTTTCTAAACATGCAAACTCAATTCCTTGCAGGTTTTCATCCATGATCCGCTGTATAAATGGGCTTTATCCCCTCTGAAGGCATTGCAGCGTCAAAAGGTAGTATGTGAATTGCTAGACCTTAGGATACTGTTGTAGAATGTAAAATATGTGTGGGATGTAGACACTCCCCAAATTCATGTTGGACAAATGGTTAAGAGATTTTAGGACTTTATTAATCTAAAATGAGAAACAAATGATAGCAATTAGAGTTGAAAGGGGTACAGTGTAGAATACCTTCAACAAAAGTGGTACAGCTTTTACTCAATTTCATCATTGGATGGTGCAGCATTTTTATGTTTATTGAACAGATGCTTACCTATATATATATATCTCGATAGGAAACCGATGATGACCTGGAGACTAGTCTAGAAGGCTCAGAAGATGAATACGAAGGGAATAAAGATGCTGCACGTGCATTGTTGCGAGTCAAACAAAAACTAGATGGATATGAAGATGGCGAAATGAGAAGTGTGCATGGGCAGGTAACTTCCTATTTTTATTCATCCACAATGCATGAACTTAGAGTATGTTTCTTCACATTCCAAGTTCGTTTATGATGAGATTGAAGGAAGAAAGCTTGTTCAATTGCACCTTTTTTAGATTTTGACACCATAGTACTATCTTTGACCCCCTCCCCCCCCCCCCNCCCCCCCCCCCCCCCCCCAAAACAATAGGTCCAACAGCTTATACAGGATGCTATCGACCCCGATCGTTTGTGCCACATGTTTCCAGGCTGGGGAGCATGGTTGTGATGAAGGATCTTACTTATTCACTGCCCCATTTGAGCACCCAATATCTTGTACAGTCGGCTTTTCTTTCTCTCTATGTTCTCTCTGTTTATACGTATACTTGTAAATGCCCCATTTGAGCATCCATTTTTCGTTGATTTTATGATTTTGAATAGGGGAATAAAGTACATTAGTTTTGGAGTTTGGTTTACCATTTTATTTGCATCTTGCTGTGCGCATGAGAGCTTTTAGAACAATCTTCACAAAATAGTATCAAGGGCGCCACCATATGCACAGGAAAACCACCTATTTCATCATCTTTGATTGGTCAACCCTCTCTGTTTCACAAGGCATCCTCTCAGCACTTCCTATATACATATACATATACATACATATATACATACATATATATATATATCAAAATCGCTCAATGGGAAAGCACTTACTAATATATAGGCTATGCATGAATATGCTTGACGTGTTTGCTTACAAATTTGATAAAATATTAGGGGGTTTTTAGACCGCCCACAAAATAAAAAGTTTAATATTTTATGCTCCTAACTACCAAATTAGGAAATACTCTTAACATTACTAGAAATTCTAAGGTCAAATGAATATATATTTTTTTCCTTTATGTTGCATTATTCATGTGGTATTACACTAAGCATCTTAATTTATAATACTTTCAAATGTCAATATAAATAATCATGATAATAATAATGAGAGGGTCTAACTTGTACTAATTCAAAACAAACCTTATTGAATAAAATAATACAATCACAAATGGTGGAAGATTTTGGTTTCAATTCCTTCCCTTACCCTCATAATTAACCATCATTATTTTCCTTTTTTTACCTAAACTATTTGTTTACCAAAAGAATTAAATTATTCATTATATGAAGTCAATAATCTCCATAAAAAATATATATATATATATATATTTAAAATGAGAGGAGTAATTATTTTGGTGTTACAAGCTGGTCTATTCTTTTGATATTTCCAAAGCAAGAAAAAGAAAAAAAGAAAGTTAAGTGGGCCCAGCCCAGTGGGCCAATATGTTAACGTCACGGTCCACTTTTAAAGCCCGCAATTTTGTTCAAATTTCAAAGAGGGCGCAAGGCGCTGCGCGTTGACTCCATATCCATAGCACATGTGAACGAGCTTGGAGCGACACGTGTTACTTCAAATAAAGGCAAGCTGCCCGTCTCTGTCAGTTGTAACTAAAGCGCGTCAGTTGTAAAGATGGTTCGTTCGTTCGTTCAATCGTTTTATTCAGACGCTCTGCCGCCTTCTCCATTTTGAGTTCCGCCTATAAACCTTCCTTTAAAGCGTTCGTTTCCTTCACTTTCCGCCATTTTCACACGGCTTGCTTTTTCTGTTTCTCTCTCTCTCTCTCTCTGAAGCTGTAAGAATCGCGATTGTGAGTTTTCAGGCGATGGAGGCTGAAAAAGGTCCTACGTATCTATCGCTTTCTCCGACTTTTAGCAGCTATTCTTCAGGTAGTAGTAGCCTCGCTGAAATTGCGGCCAGAGTCGTTAGGGAAGTTGGAGAAGAACCGTTTGTAGACGATGATAATTACGGCTGGGAGGCTCAGGGTTCGGTTTACCGTTTCCGAGAAAATTTGTCCATCGGCCATGCGCGGGAATCAGCGGAAGGAGTTACAATTGATGACTGTGGTGAAAATGGCGGTGATGATGATGAATTCGAGTTTGCTGTCCTTTGCAGGGAACCGGACGCGTCTACGAGCTCTGCTCATGAGATCTTCTACAATGGCCAGATTAAGCCGGTCTATCCGGTATTCAACAGGAACTTACTGCTAGATAACGCTTCGCGTGTAGACACGGGATCGGAGAATCCGAAGACGAAGCCAGCTGTGCGTCGTTCCCCGTTGAGGAAGTTGATGAACGAAGAGGAGCGTAACACGATGTCGCTCTCCTCGTCTGAAGCGGACAATCTTGGAGGCGTTTCATCAGAAACGTACTGCGTCTGGTCTCCAAACACAGAGAAAACATCGCCTGGAAGGAGCAATAAAAGAATCTCCACAGGATCATCCAACAGATGGAAATTAAGGGACCTGCTATACAATTACAGTCGACGACACAATGAAGGAGAAGATGCAGTCATGATGAGGAAGACGAGCATTAAGAAGAATGATCAACCTGGAAATGTATCGAAGGTAAATGAAGGTAGTGGATCAGGCATAAGTGTAACATCATCTACTAGTTCAAATTCTGGATCCACATCCTTTCCTTCGCACACCGCTCGTTACAGAGCGGTGAAAGAAGCGGGAAAGAGGAGGTCCTACTTCTTCCCATACAGATAAGTTCGGCTGATACGAACACAACGATCTAGAATTTACATCCAATCTCAGATTTGGATCTGTTTGTGGTTGAATTGATGCAGCGCACAAATTTTATTCTGAAAGAACACAAGATAGCTTAGTTTGCATTCAGCTTTTAATTTGGTTCGTCCTCGTCTCTGTAAGTTTATATTCTTTTTCTCCTCGAAAATGTAGTTTCCTTCAATTCTGTTGCTTTTTAGAAAAAATATATTTTCTTCATCTTCTCCAAATCTTGTGATGCTAGTGAAGTAATTTGGTTAGCATTAGAACATAAGTGGTTATAACTCTCTCCAATTGACTCTATAAATTTTCCACTTACCTCCTGCATTTGATTCGCTCATCTTCTTTTGTCCTCCTTTTCAAAATAAATGAAGTATGAATTCGGTTCATATTCTTCTTGTCAGGCACGCCGGAGAGCGGACCGGTAAATTATCTTCCAAATGAACTTCATCAAATTGAGTACTAACATCATTGCGGCGTGAGTATCATCTTCCAGATTGCCTAAATTTTCATCTTCCAATTAGATTAAATACAAACTGCTTTTCGATTAAATGCCCCCTCCTCGATTTCAGACAAAATTTACAGCATAATCACATCTACATAATTTTCACACATAACAGTTGAGATCACACAAAACAATTGAAGGTATGAACACTACAAGCATGAATTTACACGAGATTGTATATTTGTTATTGTTTTTCTTCCTTCACTTTTGAGTGTGTGTATATATCTATATATAGGTCGGCTGAGTGGAGAATTAGTGATTCTATTTTTGGAGAAATCCTCCTGCTTTCTTCATCCTGAAAATGTTCATAGTTTCCCGTCATAACGAATACTAAGTGCATTATATGAACTGAGAAGGAAATTGCGTACAAGGCGTTTCATTTCTGTCTTCATGGCAGATTGCGAGATTTGAAGAAATTTTAGATTAGAAGAGACCGTGCAAGTTTCTGATGATTTTTGGTTCTGAGGGTAATGGTTGATCAATTTTTCATTTCTTCTTTTTTCCTTTTTTCTTTTTAATTCTGGGTTCTGTTCTCTTTTTTTGTATTTATTCAAAGCTATAATTATGCGTAAAGAACCAGAGGTCATTTTGAAATACAGCCCACCACATTAGAATGGTTCTTTTTCTTTTTTGATATCGCATTATTATATATTATATTGTAATACTAACATATTTAATTTGGTCAATTAATAAACTTTTTCTTTTGAATTTACCCATCCAATTTTTTTAGTCCAACAAATCATTGGAAGAAAATTCAAACTATAATCTAAGTCATATATATCTTGATAAACTTTTAAGAAAAACTTTTTTTTTTCTTAATGCCTACCTAACTTTCTATTCACATGTGAAGCTGTGAATTAATAGGTATTAATGGGTATTAATCCAAATGATTCAAGAGCTGACTACTTTTTGGATTCTAAATTTCATTTTGCATTTACAATTCGAGAAAGATTCGTTTAGTTCAATACCACATGAAGGAATTTAAATCTCAACTAATAACGTTTTAAGTCGTCTCTTTTCTTATAAAAACGAAGGGAACTAGGATGTGCATGTCATATTTCCATACAAAAAAAATAGAAAAAGTAGTCTATCACTTCATGTCATCAATCTTTATTTATGTGAGATATTGGAAAGGTGGTTATTTTGTTCTAACAAAATTCCTTCATCAAGCTTGCCTAAATAGTTCAATTATTTCAGGCACGCATTTTCTATAAAATGACCAAAGTTTGAATTTCCACTTTTAAGTTGTAACCCAATACCTCCACTTTTGGTACTCATTATGCTCATACATAGATAATAATACCAAGGGTCTCTAGTAACTTTGGACATCTATTTGAACAAAGCAGGTCATTCAAATTTCTTTTAGAAAAGCAATTGTCCTTCAAAATAATTACTTGGAATATAAAATACACACATATACACATATCCGGGAATTAGGGACTGTTTTTGAAGCCCAATGATGGTCAAAGAAAGTAACTTTATTAAAGAGGATGTGACAGGAACCAGAAATTGAGGGAGAACTTATCATTTGCTACTAATATTCAAAAGCAAATTATAAAATTCTCCAAAACATATCCAAATTTTGCCCAACTCTTCTTTATGTGTAACTACTAAACTAGTAAATTCCTAATTTTCTTTCAATAATCATACTATCAACATACATCAATGGCTGAATCTCATAGTAGTTTAAAACTACGAGGGGAAATCAATTTTTACCTGTAAACTACATCCGTCGAATCAAAAATAAAATTATTTATAATAGTAGTTATTTCTATCTTAAGCTTTCATTTCATCAGCATCTTACTCAGCAAAGGAAATTTCTCTAGAGGAAGGTAACCACAAATTGAAATGGGTTATGTGTAACCCTTACTTCCTCTCCTTGCTTATATCCTTTGCTTTGCTCCAAGCATGAGAGGGTATGAAATTTTTTCATGGAAGGACATCCAAAAGGGCAGTAGATCTCATTGATATCAAAAACTTGGCAGAAAGTATCATCGCCCTTCTAAATAAGTGGCTTCAAAGTCTGGTACCTTATGGCATAGGATCATCAGCAGTAGATTTAGATGTTACTCTACCGAGAGGGGATGGGATATTTATGTCGTGATGTAGGCCTTTTGAAAAGTCATTCACAACGTTTCCCTGTTTTTGTGAAGTGAAGGTCTTGGATTTTCTTGGGGAAGGATCATTAGATTGACAATAGTAAACTGTTTCCCAAATTGAACCATCTAAGATGTTTTCACTAATTGAATTTCTTCAGCTACTTTCACTCTCTCGCATTACTTCCATTTCAGGATGTTCCTTTCTGATCCTGAATCTATGAACTAGCTACCCTTGTTCTTGCACGGTGTCCTCTTCATCCAAATTCTAGCCACTAAAGTCTTAGATACCTTCTCTTCCAATGTCTTTTTTCTTCCCTTTAATTGCTCGACCCTATCATCCCATTCCTTCTCCCTCCATCTACATTACTCTCAAAGTCAAAAGGGTAAAAGTTTCAAGAAGATGAAATTTACTGGCTGGTATGTAGGGGGAGATCTTAGCCTCTAGTTTTAACACTTCGGAGGCGTGTTGATTAGGCACGCCTTGAAAGATCTATATCATAGAGTATTTGGGTTTAACTTGGCTCCATAGAAGAAGCACCATGGCTGGATTTTTGCTTAAAAAAAAAATGCACAAATGGATTAAAAACCAGAGTGTCATATAACATGACGAAGCCAACCACCCAAGTTAGAGAAATAGATGAATGGAGCCCTAAAATATCTAAAGAGACATAGTGGTCTTTGTTGATGGTTGTTTCGGTTGAGCATTCTCTTTTCTTTGTCAAATTCTCTCTTACCAAACAAAACTAACTTCTAACCAACCTACAAAGGGCTGTGAAGTTGGACCAGATGCGAAGAACGAATAGAATTGTGTGTGGAAGTTGTAGGCCGACAGCTGCTCAACTGTTCGAGCACTTTCCTTTCTTCTATTATTCAAGAGAGGTGGTTGGCTCCGATTCAACAAGGGGTATAGTATGGCTCTTGTGAACCAGAGAGTCTACAAGTATTTTCAGGTTTTTAGAGTTTGTGCAGTTGTGAAGATCACAGATACAAGAAGAACAAGGAAATCCACATAGAAATACAGTTTAACCGGGATTCAACACCAGTTACTACATCCAGATATGGAACAAGATTTAAGAAAACAAAACAAAACAAAACAAAACTTCAGTGTACAATCAAATATATTGTAACTTTATTCTATAAATGGAAAACACGACAGGATATTATTTTGACCAAGCAACAAAGTATAAGTACATTTTTAGGAAATGATATATAGCATTCTTTCATCTATTTCTATGAATTTAGAAGGAAAAAGTTCATAAAACTATACCTGCAGTTCATGCGTGATCATTGTCCTCCAGATCCGTATTCTTCCACTTGTATCTCACTTGAGCTCACTCCCAAGCTCTCAGAATCGATCGCTCCTCCAGTTTCAGAAACTTTGGTGGCTTTTTGCAACTCATCAGTTACATTTGGTTGGGTTGCTAACTGTTCATCAGTCAACTGCTCTTTCTGGATAGTTGGTTTTGGACGTCGGATGGCTTCAGCTGCTTCTGGCAATGCAACAGGTGGAGGCTGAGGAGGAACCCATGTACGTTGAACTGGTTTCTCAGCAGTGAATACACTGGAAGAGCCTGTCTTCAACTCGTTATTGTCGCTCTCTGTAATATTAACATTTCTCTTCTCCCACCAAGGCACTGAAGCGTTACCATTCTGATAGGTAACGCCATTGTTTCGCACCATGTAATTCAAACCTTCATCTTCTTGAGTCTGGGAGAAAAAGGCAGAATTGTTTTGCGTACCAACCTCCCAAGGCTATTACATTCACACACAAGGAAAATTAGTAAACAATTTATTTGTTTTAGTTCACAAGAGAACAGTTAAAACAAATATATAGCAGAATTCCCTACTTGTGGAAGATCTAGGTTTTTTTTTTTTTTTTTTTTTGGGGGGGGGGGGGTGCGGGTGGTTAAGCATAGCCAGTTGATTCATGAAAGATACCCGAGTACAATATCCATTTCTGAAAAATGTCCGACCACTGTATTTGACATCCATTAGAAGTGTACCAAACCAAATTCACATATTGGAGAGAGAATTAAAACATATATGGATTTTAAAAGAAAAAAAAAACGAGAAAGAAAAAAATGAAAATTCATGACATTTACAAAGAAAAATGGGGAACCATTTCCCACCACGAAGAGAAATTAATCAACATAGATGATTTCCGATGTTGAAATGAGCTCACAAATAAGGAACCATTATCCAATCCAAAATTCTGTGAACGATGAAAATTAAGAGGAATGACTCAATACTTCTCCCTTCATTTCAATGTAATGTCCTATGAGTCAAAATGACCCTAGCGACGACCATAAATTGAAGGAAAACTTTCATCAAACAACCTTCGCTCTAGGAGCTAGGCGAGGATTTGATGGCTGTTGATTTGGTTTAGGAGGTAAATCATCTGTCCTGAAAGGAAGCCTATGTTAAAAAAACTTAGAACAAGTCTCACGGGGAGTCCAAGAGTTCAAACAAAAGAAGGTATGCGCAACTACAATTTAGTCCACAGTGTAAGATATTGATTTGATTTCTCCGTTTCCGATTTAAGAGGAAAAAAAAAAGAAAAAAAAAGATGTCCGCCTATTTTTTGCATTAATTTGACCCATGGACACTACCATTCAATTGTAATGATGTCATTTCTAACAAACCAATAAAGCCAACTGCATACCAATACCACCTTGCTGATGGAATTACAAATATCGAACACAAAGGAAAAGCCAGACTTCTTACTAATGACGTGTTAATGTAAGGAACCACTTTGAAGGTCAAAGTCTATTCTACACTCAAGCAATGTATTACTTACTCTAATATTAGAGGGTTTTTCTCCACCCCGGACGTTGGCCATGGTCTGATAAGAAAAACAAGAAATTTGAATCAGTACACAAAAAGCTTGACCAAGATATTATCGAACACATCAATAACCAGCAGTAATAATTAACTATTAATAAACAATTAACTGCGCCATATAAGAAATCTGCAACTACGTAGGTCAAACCATGGTAATCAAATTCTCTCATCTGAAGAAATTTTCAGTTGAATTGCCTATTTATTTTGGAAACAAGTGTTTTATGGTCAATGAATAATAGTCAATAGTAGCAACAATTTGCCAAATAGAAGCCAGTTTGCTTTTGAAGGATTGGACTGTGTAAGTTTACATATCTACTTGGAAGACAGCATGCTTTAATATGGGAACATACTCATGAACAAAAGAAATTTATTAGCCAGAAGTGACATAGAAGATTAAATTACCTCCATGTAAGACTTGGGATACGGTGCAAC